TACGCCCAACTATACTTTCTTACTTATTTTTCTTCTATTTTGTGTACACATAATTAAACTAATATTTATTTATTTATTCATTAATAAACAAAATTAGTTTAAAAAAAAATTTTTTTATAAAATTAGCAGGAATTTAATTTATTATTACTACACGAATTAAAATAAATTTTCTATAAAAAGAGAATTTATCGAAAAATGTTTAACAATATGACTCCGTTGGTTAGTAGTCATATTCTATCAGACAAAATGTCATGGGTTGAAATCCCACCAGAGATACTAGTTAAGTAGCGCAGAAGGGATCCGATGAAGACCTAAGTACAATTCTTCGATTTTAAACTAACTAATAAACTAACTGTAATTTAGTTAACCAATTACTTACCAATTAGAATAGGGACGTCTGCGGGCATGTTAAATTTTTATGGAAATGCGAAGGATTATTCTTTTTCAAATACTTACTTAAATGCCAATAAAATACTAAATAATTAATACAAAAAAATGCATATTCCTGTTAAGAAATTGAATATTTGGATGGTATTTTATATTTTCGTTGAATATTTAATACTTAAGAATATATATTTTTTTACTTACAATGTAAGATTTAGTTACATATTTACAAATGTTCCTAACAACTGTAATAAAATTGTAACATCTAATAAATGGAAGTTTATAAACAAAATGTATAAAAAATTTGATTAAAATTTAAATTTGATTATTACATTTCTTGAACTTTTAATTCAACAAACATACATGTTTTACAATTTATCAATTAGTAAAAATTTCATGTACTTATGTACATATGTAATTCTTTTTTTTTCATATTAGTTTTGGCAATTAAAACTTATAATTATATTAACATATTTATACATATTTATAATTTTTATCTAGAAAATTTGCTATTAGATTATTTATTTATTTATTATAATAGAATAATATATGTGGTTTATAAAAAAATTCGTAATTTTTTTTTCTCAAGGTTTAAAATATAATTTTATATTTGATTTGGTCTAAAATTTATTTAAATTTACTTTTCAATTATTTTATACAATCACAGGCGTGAGGACACAAACACGTTTACAAACATCTAAAAAGGAGAATATGAGATAACAAGAACTAAAATAATAATTAAATACAAGTAACAACATAAAAACATTTATTTTAATTTTCATAGTATTTTTTTAAAATTTTAATTATTTCTTTTGTGTATGGTTGGTTTGTAAATGTCTAGAGCTATGAGCTCTTAAATAATATAGAAAAAAGATTCTTATAAAATTGTTAAAATGCTGTATAAAAACATAAAAATTAATAAGGATACTAATTTAAACGTTTTGTAATTACATGATTGTAATTCCCCTATAATATTTTCTTATTTTTTCGTTGTTGTATAAAAGTAAAATATGTTTTAATCAGGCTCCATTTAAAATATAATTTACTTTTCTTTATTTTAAATATTGTTTTGGTATTTTAATTTAACACTACCAACAGCCAGCAGCAAAATTCACGGTCATAATGAATGAAAAAGAAAGCAAACACAAACACGTAAGAATGTATAGTCGGGCATGGCTGACCATACCAACAAACCAACCTTATACCAGTGAGTATATTAAAAAAAATGTGGATTATTTTTTATAAAAAGTCATTTAAGTTGATTTTACCTTTATTCCGAAATATTTCAGTAATTTGTTAAAAGTTAAAGTTATTTATGCAGAATTTCATAGTGATTCTAGTGTTTATAGGTGAATTATTCTTCAAGAAAATATCTTCAAGTCGTTTTCTGATGGGGACTTGGTATGTTCAAATGAGACCCAAAGCCCCATTCGAGGGGTACGGTTGTATGGGGGGCTAAGTAAAATGTGCCGATTTCATTAATTTTCAGTACGGATAGACGGACGTAGCTTAATCGATTCGGAAAGTAATTATGAGGCGATTGATATACTTTAAGTTGGATGTAGGACCAATATTTTTGAGTGTTACAAACACCAGTACAAACGCATTATACACATCCTACTATAGTGGTGTAGGGAATAATATAGAAAACACTTGGGTAGAGATTTTTGACATAGAAGATTTCTATAAACACGTCAAGGTCTGGAGAGTAAAAGTTTTAGTTTATGGAAATGGTGTGGATTATTTTAATAAAAGTTGGTTTACTTGAGATCCCCTTATTACCCCATTCTGAAGTTTTAATATACTACACAAGCGGCTTATCAAACATATTTTTTCACTCGCACACACACTACACAAACATTGCTCGTACAAACACCGATTTTTTCACGTTTTTGTGGACTTGCAAAGATACAGATGACAAATTTTCTTAGAAATGTAAATTTTGTGAAAAATTTGTTATTAATAAATATAAACAAACGGTTTGAAAAAAATTCAATATGTTTGTGTAAATATCAAATTTTTTAAATTTTTATACAAACAAACAGCAAGCATTTGTACAAACACGAAACACTCTCATACACTACACAACAGGCTTGCACAAACGTAAAATATTGGTATGTTTGTCAAGCCGCTTGTGTAGTCTATTTGGGCCTTAAGCAATCTTATGTGAAGAATGAAAGAAAGTTGAAGGTACGTTTTTTGAGATATCCTTAACTAAAGGACGTTTTTCGATTTCATTACCCTTACGTTATAACTATAATATTTTAAATAAAGTATTGTCAAAGTACAAGATGTAGACTTTAATTTGGGACTAAAGCGATTAAAAAATGTGAACATTGAACCTTGATAAAATCTAAACTAATACGTAAGTCCGTGATATTACGTAAAAAACATGTAAAATGGCCTAGATCAAATATGGCGCAGGCAGGTGTAAATACAATTTCTGGTACCTAATGGCGAATACGGGAGTTATCTACTGAACAGGATGTTTTCAAAATTGATTTGTTTGTTATATATTTCGTTAGGTATTCGATACTAAAAAGTATCGAATTTTCTGTTACAGAGACGACTCTAAGCGTAAGCAATGTGTAAGTCCATGACAATTGCAAAACCGTTACAGCCAAGAAGAGCGGATTTGAAAGTACAGGCAAGAGAATCCTAGTCAACCGCATTGAATGATGTAATTGTAAGGTGTACCACCAACGTAAGCGCTCCTCAGTAGGAGAAAGTCAAATGTTAGTATATACAGGACTACGATACAACTTCAGCAAATTGTGCGAACGAAATATGAGAAATACAGGGCATGTTGTGTGCATAATGAAATACTTTAACATTTGCTCTGCCATCGCCTTTGTCAAACTTAGGGATTTTTTTTCGAAATTTTGAATTTATTTAAAAAATATCTTCAATTGATGAAAAATACCCAGAAGCTATTTTGTACAATTCTAAACATTGCTATACATATGATACTGAGTGTGCTCCTCTTTTATACCTTAATATTTTACCCTTATTTTAATTTATTTTCATCAGTGCTCAACAGGTCGAAATTATTAGAAATTTGGAATCCCGTTATACATACATTTACTAGTTATTGATCCCTTTAAGGGGCCTTTACACGATCACACTTTACGTACGTAAAGTCTAATGAAAAAGTAATATGAAATTCCATCTGTATGACAAAAGTCGTATGATTTAAATATATTTGTGTTTACACGATTGGTATAAAACAATAACAAAGTAAGATGGAAACAACTGTCCCACTTTTTTTTATGTGTTTACATAAAAATACATCCCTACATATTACTTGTGTGCTCTTGTAAAGGGCGCTTTACGAACATACCTCGAAAAACATTTACCGATTTATTCCCCAACTTAGTTCATCTTAGCGGCTGTTAATTCCTCTTTCTTTACCAACCTACTAACCTTTTTTTCATATACATGTATGGGGGATTTCATGTCAAGTGACTCAACTTTTGAAACCTAAAATTTTTTAACAAGATCGGTCAAGAACTTTCTGAGTTACAGTGGGTCAAATTTTGATATTTTTACCCAACACGTGTTTCTTCTTATAGACTTATTGCTATATTTAAATAATAATTTAAAACTATTATTAATCGGAAGACATTGGTTTCAAAAGTTGGGTCACTTGACATGAAAACCCCCATATATGTATATATATATATTGAAACTTTTGTATCCGGAGACAAATCTGTATGCCTTTCGTAGGTATATTTTACAAAAACTTTTGCAGAAATTTTACTTCAACGGGAGTTATATTGCGAATATAAACTTGTAGAACTGAAGATTATATTTGTTTTAATAATTACTAAATTTTGTATGATACTTTTTGTATCAAATGCTTATATGGTTCACAAGTAATTCTAATACTAAAAACATTACATTTCACTCTATTAATTCCTTCTGTCAGTTACTACAAAGGTTTCGCTCACAATCTCTTGCACAGCAATTTTTCTTGCGTTAAAATGGCTTTAATTACACGTTAAATTCGAATTCTTGTTAAATCATTAGCATTAATAACGAGCTGGAAACAAAATTAAATTTAATAAAATAATTTTAATGTCATTTTAAAATTATAATGGTATAACTTTTGCAAATAAATTCAATTGTATTCACTCACCAGTAAAGTAAAATTGTTAAAATAATTTAAGTTTCAAGTTTATGTGCAAATGACCTTCATGAATGTTGCTGAATAAATATTAACAATTTTATGGAATCTTTTTTTTTTTTTTTTTTGCTTACGTTAATGAAGAAATATTTAAAATTTCATTAAAAATTACATTTAAGAAAACAGAAACTAATGAGCAGACACTAGTAATTGAAAGTGGAAGTAATTATAGAATTGATGATAGTACAATAAAAAAACATGCAATTTACAATCAACTAACATAAATTAACAATTACAAACTACATTATAAATACAATTTAGTTTTTTTATTTTTAAAATAATTATGTATAAATATATATTTTTAATTTATATATAAATGTTAATATTTTTAAATATGTATGCACAAGTGTAGAAGTGTTTATTTATATTATATTTTAAACAGATTAATTATTATTTGTTTTTGAATTTATTCAAAATTTTCATTGTTTGATATTATTTTTAAATAATAAAAATAATGCTAACTTGTTTTAATGTTCAGCGATGTTATTGATAAAAAGTGTTGGTTTTCTTTGTTAGTTAAAAAATTATTTTTCCATTTATTAAATTATTTTTCTTTGCTTTAATACACCAGAAATTATATTCAAAGTGTATGAATATATGTATGTAAGTAATGTATTGTTTGTATGTCAGTTGGATTTTGTTCATTATGAAAACAAGTTACTTAGTAATGGCAAGTTTTTGTCTGTATCTATTACCTAATGCATAATAAATTTACCGCATTACTAATGTTGTCACTTCTGTTGACATGGGATTTTCGGTTAATGCCACCGACTCGGTAACAGCACTGCGTAAACCATTGGTTGTTGTATTATTGTTGGATGTACCCAATCGTCCAGCATCACCGTTCTGACCAAAACCAACACTGCTTAATAGCTTCAGATCACCTTTGGATATGTCATTGTGTTTCCTTTTCCGTCGTGATTGAGCACCTCCTGTTGTATGACCATTAAGAGCAATATTAGTGTTTTCTTTAGAACGGCATAATATTTCTTTAAATTCTTTACGGAAATTATCATTCAGCCATCCATACAGCAGGGGATTCGAACAAGCCGAACTCATACCAATCATGTGACAGAAGGCGTACATCACCAGCATATCGTTGGTAACAGCCGGACGTTTCATATCCGCATACAAATTGAAGAAATTCAAAGGCAACCAGGACACACCAAAAATAATCGCAATACTAATGAGTAAACAATTTGTGCGTTTCATACGTCTGCCACGTTCAATATTACGTTGGGTTGACGTTGTCTGTACGGTAACCACAGTAATGCGATTTTTCAATTTATTATAGATGCCAAAATAGGCACCTGATACTATTAGTATTGGTACTAAATATTGAACACACAACGAGAACATGGAGTAATAGAAGCGTCCATGATTCATTGGCCAATCTTCAATACAGAAAGATACATGGTGTATGCCCAGCGCTTGTAAAACCGGTGGTATATCAGCGTGTACAAGACTTTTGTAGATAAAGAGGGGCGAAGCCAAGAGCAGTGCCAAAAGCCAAATACCAGCTAATATGGAGACAGCACCAACAATTTGTAAACTATCACGTGTTGGATAAACAATAACCTAAAGTGATACGGAAATAGAAGCAGATATTAGATAAGGTTATAAATAGGCAAGATTTTAAGTAAGTCTTAATATAAATTTTAAAAAGTTTTACTGCTTTTTGCAAAAATGATTAATTAAAGTTAACAATGGTTTACTACATTTCTACCATTCTTAACTTAATAATCGTTTTTGAATAAGACAGTTAAAGTTTAACTGCTTCTTTAACATAAATTGTACAACTTTTGAAAATGTCTTTAAATGTATAGGAAATAACCAAAAAAGTTGGTCAAAACCTTTTATAGAGTCTTGCTGGAGTATGAAATTTTGTTCTTTACTATAAAACTAGATATAACAAGTAAGAAAGTATAGTCGGGCGTGGCCGACACTATGATACCCTACACCAGTTATGAATATTAAATGTGATTTATTTTTCAAAATAAAGCATTTATCTTCAATATTCCCTTGTTCCGATACATTTAAGCAATTTATGGATGAAAAACAAATTTTCTGAAAGAGGCTTTATATGGGGGCTAGGGGCAAATATGGACCAAGCCCGATAAAATTTTGTGAATATATTTATATTTACATAACATTTTATTGTGCTGAATTTCATCGCGATATTTGTGTTTATAAGTTAATTTGGGACATTCAAGTAATTTTCTGATGGGGACTTTCTATGGGAGCTAGGGTCAAATGAGGCCCGATCTTTATGAAATCAGGGTCATCAAGACTTCTATAAAACTTAGTTGTGCTGTATTTTATCGATATATCTGTATATTTAACATAATTATGAGCTCAGAAGCCCTTTTCGGGGGGTTCTGTTCTATGGGGGCTAGGTGAAATAATGGACCGATTTTAACCATTTTCAATAGGCTTCGTCCTTGGGTCAAATAAAACGTGCGTGCCAAATTTCATCCAATTATCTTGAAAATTGCGACCTGCACCTTGCGCACAAGGTTTACATGGACAGCCAGCCAGCCAGACGGACGGACATAGCTTAATCGACTCAGAAAACGATTCTAAGCCGATTGGTATACTTTAAGGTGGGTCTAGGACGAATATTTTTGTATGTTACAAACATCAGCACAAATCCAATATATCCTCCCCACTAAAGTGGTGTAGGGTATAAAAATAGACAATGCTAACAAACAATATATAAAGTTCAAAATTAAATTTTGCATTATTTGCAAATTCTCCATTGAAATATTATTTATTTTTTGATCATTTATTATGAAATATGTATATATAAACAAAGTTCGAAGAAATCAAAAGTATTGAAAAGTATTGATTGATTGTGATAAATGTTTATATCAAATTTTGTAGAATTCATAGAGAGTCCTTTTCCGAGTCTGATTAAAAAGCTCATATTAATATTGTGATAAACGATTCATAAATTTTCATAAAAAATATATTCTGCATTTTAATAGATAACTATTTCCTATATGAAAGTACATAAGTACTTCATAAAAATATTGTAATTAGTTTTTTAATTTAAGGGTTTCTATGAATTTAGTTTGTGTCAACTATTATGGCTATACTGATATTTTTTACCCAATTATGCCATTTTCTAATGGGTACCTTATATGGACGATAGGATCAATTATAGACCGATACTCATAAAATTTGGAAGAAACATTTCGGTTCCTATAAAACTTGACAATGTTGAATTTCATAACTATACAGGTATTTATACCCTACACCACCATAGTGGGGAGGGTATTATACGTTTGTGCTGATGTTTGTAACGCACAAAAATATTGGTCCTACACCCACCTTAAAGTATACCGATCGACTCAGAATCACTTGTCCGTCCGTCCGGCTGGCTGTCCATGTAAACCTTGTGCGCAAGGTACAGTTCGCAATTTTGAAAGTATTTTGCTGAAATTTGGACCATACGTGTTTTTTGGCCCACCGACAAAGCTTATTGTAAATGGTTAAAATTGGTCCATTATTTCACATAGCCCCCATACAACCCTATCCCCCGAAAAGGGCTTTTAAGTTCATAATTATGTTAAATATTGTAGTATCTCTACAAAAATCGGGAAAACTTAGTTCTATATCGTCTATAACGTCTTAATAATACTACCGAATTTCGTAATTATCGGACTTTATTTGACCCTAGCTAGGGAACTAAGGACCATTGGAAAAAAAATATTTTTTATTTTTCTCTTGTTCAGTACATTAATGCGCATCGATTGAGAGGTAATGCTACATGACATTCTTAAAAAGGCTGTTCCTCAGGACACTCTATTATTCATAAACAAATTTGTATTTTATAAACCGTTTATAAATACAATTTTGTATGAAAATAATAATAATAATAGTAATTTTTATTTTTAAATACACTATGTTGAAGCGTACATACATAAGATGCAGTACAACCAGTGTTGCCAGAACTCCCTTAGAATAAAGTGCAAAATGACGGTCAAAAAAGTGCAAATTCGTTGAAAAAAGTGCTAAATTCATATTAAGTTTTTAAAAGTCCATTAAGCCATGTCTACCCGTCTGTGCGGTTGGCTGTCCAGGTATAATGTACAGGTCGCAATTTTTTACATAACTCAAATTGATCCATGATTTGACCTTGCCTATAAAATACCCCTTTACAAAATCAATAAGGGGTAATTTCAAAAAATTTCGAACAAAAAAGTAGGATTTTGAACATGACCCTCTCCGATTTCGATGAAATTTGGTACACACATTCTTCTGTTCTCCAAAATTTTCAAATTCGTTACGGTCCAGATTTTATCGATGTTTAAAGTTCATATTTTTTTTTTTGGATTTTTTTCAATGTGTGTTCCAAGTTTTATCAAATTCGGAAAGGGTAAGGTACAAAACCTGTTCGAAAATTTTTTAATGCCCCTAAGAATAAGCATATACATACATATATATGTATATATATAAAATAACTAATAACACTAGGTAACAACGATTTTGTTTAGGATATAAAACCTATATGGTTTTCTTTGTTTAGGACGTCTAAGACCAGAAAAAGTATTTAAATAATCTAGGATGTCAAATCTTTTAATTATTCATTAAGAAAAAAATGCTAAAAAAGGGTTCGGAAGAAAAAAATTTTATATTTATAGTTTTAGTTATTTTTTATATAAAAAATTTTATGGGTCTTATTCACAACACTTTAGCAGATGTATTCTTATCGCAAAAAAAAAAAATGAAAATTTAATTGAAATAATCTTAAATCTTGGTGAATAGATGTCAGGTTTATTACTCATACTTCAAAGAGCTTTTAGGAAACAATATAAATGTTGATGTAACTAATGAATTTGAGAGGGTTATATTCAAATATGCAAGTTTGTAATTCTGGAATAAATTGTCAATCGAAATTAAAAAAAAAAAAAATTAACAAAAATAAATTTTAAAAATTTGGTAAGAATAAAAAGAACTATTTATATTGAATCTTTTTTTCTGAGTTGATTGATAGGTTCCCAAAAGTAGCACAAGCACCCCAAAATCGGTACTCATTTTCTCCAAATTTAACAGCACTCCTGAAGGATGATGCAAAATTAAATATAACCTTAATAAGTTTTATAGGATCTTAAATGTCTCTATCAAATTCCATAAGAATCGGTCTATATTATATCCAAGCGTCCATAATAACTTGCTTAAGATCATGTGCAGCGATGAAATTCTTCATAATCAAGTTTACCTCTATATATGTAAATCCTCTTTCAGAAAATAAATTTATTCTTAATAAATTATTACAACATATTAGTATTATGATACATTCGAAAAAATTATTTGCTTTAAAACATCCTTCTTAGAGCTCGGTCCGCGATCCAAACCATTAAGATCGTATTCCGAAAATAAAACCGATACACTATAATAATAATTTAAGCATAAATCTAATAAATGAGCAAATCTTGGTAAAACGTGTTGTGTTGGTGCATATGTAAGATTCGGCATTCCCGAACTTTTACCTGTTTTTACATGCTCATACATTTTTATTTTATTGTATATTTTAAATTTTAATGATTTTTTTTTCAAAAAAATGTTTTTTGAAGATGTTAGCCTTTTTAGAATGTAGTCACTTCGTTGTAGTGACACCAAATTTTTAACAAAACAACGCTCTTTTAGCATATTTTTTCAAACATTTTTCACAATTATTGCACAATAATATTTAAAATAATTCACTTCTTAATTTAATTTACAGTGTAAATTATAAATTACAATAAACATATGCAAAAAATTTTTTGTGAGAATTTCTTAAAATTTCACAAAACATCTCAAAGCTAAATTTTTGCAGTTCTCTAGACAAATTAAACTTTAAAGTTCTTTAATTATAAAAAGTGCAAAGTAGAAAATGCCAAAAATGCATTTTTAATGCTAAAAATTTCTAGCAAAAGACGAAAAAGTTCTAAAAAGCATCTAGCACTTTTTTCTACAAAATAAGTGCAGCCGACGAAAAAAGTGCTAGAATTGCACTTTTAATGCCGTTATGGCAACACTGGGTACAACTACCCTGCAGTACGACGAACTAGTTCGACAACGGCGATATGAAGAACATGTAATTTTTGTAAAAAAAGGAATACTTTCAGCATTACATTTCGTCAGAAAAGTACCATGTGTTTATTTTAAGCACTACATGTGACTATCAAAGAGACATTTTTAAAACATTTAATTTATTTAGAATTTATTTTCATAAAAAATTTATCAAATGTGAACTACTGATTGGAATGGTGACATGTAGTGAACGTTTAGACAAAATATCGACCACTTTATTTACCAGAGGTAACTAGTTAGTTGGGGTAATATAACTAGTGAAAGGTGCAAATTGTCACTTTACGTACTGTAGGGTAAATATAGTACATACTATATGTGTTGGTGCGAAGGATAATAAAATATTTATTAATTTTTATTTAAGGATTTGAAATCACAATTTAATTATTCTTGTTACAGTAACTGCAACCTACAAGCTAGTTTTACTTTTTAAAATAAAGTAAAATTAAATTAAAAAATACTTAATTCCTAAGAGTATTTAAGGTTTTATGAATATCTCCAGCACAAACTAAAAATATGAGTAATTTAATATGAAAAGCAATATAAAATAATTTTTCCCTTTTGACCAATTTGGTCAGGTGAGTTTTTAGTAACAACATTCATACATGAACGTACAATAATGACTAAATTAAAAAAAAATACATACATTTTAATGGCAAAAAAGGTGAGATTTTAAAACTTTCGAAGAAATTTTAATTGGGACAAAAGATCAAAAGCCAGTTCATACGTTTTAGTCCTTTGCTTATACTTAAAAATGTATCCTTTTGTACTTATACACATAATATGTATATTTATATGTATGTATTATGTTTTTTTTTTTTAACGCAAACTTATTCCAGGAAACACACACTCACAGAGTACTTAAATGCTTGTGTTTATATTTAATATCATCATTTTGAATGTAGTTTCTGTATATCGTACATTATGTATGTAGTTATGTTTGTAAATTATTAATTATTTGATGTATTTAGGGAGTGTTTTTTTTACATGAATGTCTTCGAATTTCGAAATTTAATTGAACAATGTTAACCTGTTTCACATCGGATAAAACTTTGGAAAAGAACATTTAAAAATATGTCCGTCCGAAGTTTAAAATTTTTAATGTGAGATAACGAAGTCAGAAATTAACAGTTAACAGGTAAACAGTTCTGAATAAAAATTGATATCCAAAATTTTCTTAGGAACTTTCAGTGAAAATGGTTTGTGTACTATAACATTTATATTCAAGAGCATTGTAGAGTTTATCACTGACATTGTTTAATTGGTAAGCGTAGTTACTCATTTCAGGTAACGATATGTATTTGAATTATAGTATATATTTCTCGAAAAAAAACTTAAAAAAGATTATGTGGTTCCGCTCGGGAATTTTCCTTACACCTGCACGGTCTTTTAAGCAGAGATATCCGAGAACTGAATATCGAAAATTCGACTATACATATCTACTTTGATTGCCTTACATCAATCAAACCTCTCAACTCTAAAGGCTCAAATAGACTACACAAGCGGCTTGACAAACATACCAATATTTTACGTTTATGCAAACCTGTTGTGGAGTGTATGAGGGTGTTTCGTGTTTGTACAAATGCTTGCTGTTCGTTTGTACAAAAATTAAAAAAATTTGATTATTACACAAACATATTGAATTTTTGTCAAACCGTTTGTATTGTTTATATTCATTAACAACAAAATTTTCACAAAATTTCCATTTCTAAGAAAAATTGACATCTGTATCTTTGCAAGTCCACAAAAACGTGAAAAAATCGGTGTTTGTACGAGCAATGTTTGTGTAGTGTGTGTGCGAATGAAAAAATTATGTTTGATAAGCCGCTTGTGTAGTCTAGTTGGGCCTTAACGTTATTAAGTCGAAATGTCTTCTCAAATGTATCCAATCACTGGCACAACTGACCCAATATCACGATGTCTCAAGACATGAGGGCATCCGGGGAAAGCTGAGGAATGCGCAACCAAAGAATCGTCCCTAAACTTAACTCTTGCGTAAAAGTATATTCACACTCCCCTGGTGATCTTATCAAGGCTGCTCTGGCCCACTCTGACAAATGATAGGACTATGACTCTCTTGTAATTTAATAAGAACTCAATTAGGTATAATTACTGGGCGCTGTATAATTAGACACATGTCGGAACGTATAGGCTACCCACGTTATAGCTATATATAGAAGTTGTTTGGATGAGAAAGAGTAGGAATCGGTACAACATCTTTTATGTGACTGCCCAGTCTTAGAAGAGCACAGAATACATTATTTTGGTAGAGGCCACTAGTAACTATGATCGGATTTATTTTATTAGAAGTACCGGCTGGTTCTTACGGGGACCACAGGAACCACATAGTCAACGAAATTAGGGAGGGAAACTATTCTCCCTTATGTATAAACTCTCAACATAAAGGAATGGTAATTCTAAGGGTATCGTACCACAATGTGTCACAAGGCCTCCTAGTGAACTCACTAACTAGCGAGCAACCCACATAACCTAACTTCAAATTTGCGGGTATTTCAGATTTGACATTGCCGAATATAGCACTCTAACTTGTTTTATTTTATAACAATTAACAAACATAAATGGATAATCATTATTTACACACTTCTGTTTCATATTTAACACTTTACATGCATATAGAATACACATACATTCATGAGTACTTGTGTACATTAATATTTGTGTAAACAAATAGACATTATTGTATATTTGATAAAAATACGTTTATTTACACTTACCTGATATCTATCGAAAGCAATGGCTGTTATTGAAATCGTTGAAACAAATATGCTTAAAGCCTGTAGCATTGCAATCATTTTACATAAAACTGCACATGAACCAAATGGCCAATATTTTGATAGTATTTCCATTAATGTTAAGGGCATTGTTACCAAACATAATAGTAAATCTAAGAAGAGATACAAAAACAAACAAACAAACAAGGTATGCATTAGTTTTTCCAAAAACAGAAAAAAAAATGAAAACAAAATTCCTAATACATGCAAGATAAAATTAAATAAAAAAAGTAAATTCCTTTAATTTCATTTGTATCCCAGCAAAATATTTGCTTACAAATTCACTAGAAAAATCACCAGAATTCATCGAGTAAAGTGCTTAAAATTCTACTAGAAAAAGTACTTATTTTTGTTTGAGATGTTCCAAAAGTAAGTCAATATTATTTGGTTGGAAATAAGTTGTTTTTTAAGTAGAGTTATTTATAGAATATTTATGAAAAAATAAAAATAAAAAGTCGACACAGACTGGGGTTCAACTCAATACCTTCCGTCTACCAGTTGGATGCTCCCCTCACTACACCACTGCTTAGCTGTTTTATTGTGCGTCAAATAATAGTTTTCACACACAAATACTATTTTATTTTCTGTTTGTCTAAAAATAGATATTTGATATCGTGTGCACAAAAAAAGGAAAAAAAAGAAAAAGTAACTGTTTTATGTTTGTTTGTTTCTTTATTTTGATTTCTTTTAGACTTTACATACAAAGTAAGTCATTAATAAAGTACTTAATGGTAATCATTGTAAGCAAAGATTTTGCTGGGATGTTTAATAAAAAGACAAAGTAAAGTTTCCAGTGGTGACATTCAAATATTTTTTTTTTTTTTCATTTATATGAAAAATTTTCCTTCAATAATATTTTATTGGGCACAAGGACGAAACCTATTGAAATTGTTAAAAACTTTTCACTAAACTTTACTAGCTCCGTTATATGGTCTCTAATAGAAAATAAGTTTAAGGGTAATAAAACCATTTAAAAGGATGATTTTCCTGCAAAAAATATTGTAGTACATGATCCATTTTGGTAATCCCGAAACTACTCCTCAGTAAACATTATTGGAGTACATGATCTGTTAAGTAGTTCTATGTAATGCGGACATGAATCATGTTTTTTTTTTTTGAAAACAACAGGTCTATAGCCTGCATAATGTAGGACCATGTTGCGGATCATTTACTCTCATAATTTTAGCAAGGGAGGAGTTTGCGATTACTCTGATTAATACACATATGGATTATGTGATTCTCACCTAGGACATCACAATGTTAGATTTAGTATGTTTTGCTATATATTTGGATTACTTTTGGACCAGTCCTTGTTCTTCGAGAACTACTCTTTACACGCGTGTGCGATGTAGGCTCAATTTTTGCAGGGTTAACAGTAAATAATTGACTTTCTGTTTAATTCGTTCTAAAAACTTCCGAAACACTCTCCGATATCACAAAATTCTCTAAGAATCAATTCATAATAGAACATACCCATCAAAAACTAGGTAATGGCTTTCAATTGTAATAACTTACCTAACAACAAACTTTTCAGTGACAATTACATATCGCCTGAATTACATAGAAGTAGTCAAATAAGGTCTTACTAATAATGTGTTACATAAATACTTTATAATTCATTAGTCATCTCTGCTAGAGAAGACATAGAAGCTGTATACGTTTTTTCATGCGATTTACAATGCATACTTTTTCTAATTACTTGTAATCGTTTGAGGTAAGTACTTGTCTACTAGATGCTATTTCACATTATTAAAAAAAACACACACTTACCTGATATTGCCAAATTTAATATAAATAAATTACGCGCTGTCCTCATCATGGGCTTACGTAAAACGGCCACAACCACCAACATATTCCCCAATGAACCAAATATTATAAGAACACAGTACATCAGTATCAGTATATGAAACCAAGGACTATCTATACTGCGATTACGTGTAAAACGTTCTATAAGTACTGGATCTAATCTGAAAGTATCATTACTTTTTAGTGTATCATTAAATTCTGCCATTTGACCATCTATGACTGTCGTCTCCAAATAGTCCATAGAGGAATCTTTACTTTCTAAACTTTCAAGTGAAGATAACGAATTAAACATGCCAATAGCATCAGTTTTTATCGTTGAATCGGAATGATTCATATTGATAATCTGTAAAATGCAATAAAAAAAGAAATATTTTTATAAAGTAATAATAAAATAAAATTATTTTAAAAATGGCTTTTATAACAAGCTGTTATGCATTATATAATTTGTTAACAGTTTCAGATTTTTGTTTAGTTTGAGCACAAACCATGCATATGTATTTCATACTTGTCCTATGACCTCCCCTTTCGCAAACTATAAGTGTAGTATGTCATATGTTCCGAAATTTAGTACAAAAGTTATTTTAAATTAAGTTCTCCCTAATAAACTGTATATATTAAATCCTCTAATATTTAGTGTTTTATTACTAGAATTTCAATTTCAATTTATGATATCTAAACGTATGTGTCATATTTAATGGCAAAAATTACTCATACGTTGTTAATATCGGCTACATATACTATAGTTGAGTAATAAATAGTTGAAATTTATTTATTATTATTTTTTGCAATTTATACTAGTACGTACATATGTTAATAGTATTTATGCGAATCAATTATAATTCCTGTTTGTTTTATTTTGTTTTTTTTTTTTCGTTGCAGGTAAATAAACTTTATTTGTGTTTTACACCCCCAGGGCTTAGAGCGTTATCACGCCATATGTGAAATTTAATTTCATTGGTATGTAAATGAAAGTTTTTCTTTTTTTATTGTTTTTGCAATATAAATTTTCTAGCTTTTACTGTTGTTTATTTGTTATTTTTATTATAGTTAATTATTTAATACGATTATCAATGTTCAACAGGAGTTTGGTTGTTATACATATGTATATTTTTGTGTACATTTGGTATATGTTCCACATTTATTTTCTTTGGCGCAATCCGCAGCAATGTCTATACCACAGCAAAAAAGTAAATTTTTGGAAAAAATTTAGTAGTCGTTATTAATAACACTATTTCAATTTGTTGATTGTGATTTCTAGCCAATTGTCTAGCGTCTGTCTAACAAACAAGAAGTTAGTGATTCGAACCCTTTTTTTACCCTTCACCTTTGTGAGTTTGCTATTCTGTTCCTAATTTAAAAATATTAATTTTGTATCCTCATAAGGTACAAATACAATTTGTAACTCTTTCTAGGCGTCGAAGTCGGTTAAGCGATGTCAGTCTGTTCGTCTACGCAACTCCCTTTTTTAGTTAAGTTTGTTTATGTCTATTTGTCTGTCTGTCCGTCCGTCTGTCTATCTGTCTGTCTGTCTGTCTGTCTGTCTGTCTGTCTGTCTGTCTGTTTGTCTGTCTGTCTGTCTGTCTGTCTGTCTGTCTGTCTGTCTGTCTGTCCGTCTGTCTGTCTGTCCCTGTGTCTTTTAATGTCGAAGTGTTTTACGTGAACACCTGCCTTGTTGGCCTATTTCACGGTGGTCTTTTTCAACCACTGGGTGAGCTTTTGTGACGACTCACCCCCGCCCCATTGTGCACTCAAGTGGCAATTTACGTATATGGAAATTCCGGTCCAGTATACGTGCACTTTGCTTAAGTACTTGTGCTATCTATTCTCTGGCCACTGCTGCCCCCCTTTGTTAACTTCCTATATGCAAAAACATCACTTCCGTTTAAAACCACGCCTCTGTTGAGTCTGAACATACCTGGACAAGGAAGGAAAATTCAATGGTATAAGATACCTATTATCCATCACCATTCAACCCAGCACACTTCTCATTTATCCGACACACTCATAAGAGAACAACATATGACAGACCACTCTAGGTATACGAGAGGATGAGTTCCGTATACCCCTACATTCAACCTGTATCATACACAACATAACACCAACTCATTTCCATTGCTTAGTCCCACAGTCAATCCTCTGTGCGGTATCTGTTGTCAATCGGCTACAGAACCGAACTTATCCTGAAATATAGATTTCATCGTGCATCAGTCTTTTAACCGCAACTTATTCTTCCCGCAAAATTGTATTTAAACCAAAGCCACTACGTGACTTCCGAATGAACCTCAACCAACTGACCATGAAATTAAGTATGTAGATCCCGGGTTAAGTGAGAACCTATAAAAGGGGACTTTTTGGTACTTTTTCGTTTTTTGAAATGTACGTTTTTTGAATAATATTGAACCTAGAAACATGAAATTAAGCATGTAGAGCCCGGATTAAGTAAGAAAAGGGCACTTTTTGGTAATTTTTCGTTCCACAAAAAGTATATTTTGAATTTTCTATAATATTGAACCGAGAAACATGAAATTTAACATGTAGAGTCTGGATTAAATGAGAACACATAAGAGGGAACTTTTCGGTACCTTCTTGTTCTACAAACGGTACTTTAGGAATTTTCAATAATATTGAACCTACAAATATGAAATTAAGAATGTAGAGCCCGGATTAAGTGAAACTCAAAATAAAGTACTTAAGAAGTCATTGAAAAGTAAGTGGTTATGTAAGTACAAGCCATTACCCAGTTTTTGATGGGGTTATACTAAGTGTCACAACAATTCAACTTATGCTCCTTCAAATTTCTGAATTTAAAAAAAATATCAACAAAAATTACCCTAAAGAATATACATATGTTATTCGTAATATGATTTTGACTTTATATGTTTGCAATACAAAAACATAGAAACACTTAATATATATACATTAGGGTGGTTCCAAAATTAAAGCTGACATTTATCACCACTTCAAAAGTAGCACTAAATGAATTGTTTATCTTCTGTGAAAGTGATATTATAAAACTACAATTTCACTTCCAAATAATATCCATAAAAAGAACATAAATATTACTTCTGGAGAATGACTTTAGAAGTAGTGAATACGACAAGCCTGTTTTATAATCATCACTTTTGCAGGTCTTTTTCAGTACTTTCATAGAGTAAATTCTACTTCTTTTTCACTTCTTTGGAAGTTAATTTTTTGTGGGAAAATATTGGCAGGACAAACATTTTAGTTGACTGTATCGTAAAATGAAATAAACACTTTTAACTTCGCTGGGAGCAACAATATTTTTTTCAGACCAACTGGGCCACCCTAATGTACATAAATCGCAAGTATAATAAATTATTTATAAAATATATTTATCAACATACAAAGCATTTATTTATCATGTATACCAGTTTATTTTATAACAAATTTCCTAGAAATCATAAGTATGTATAATAATAATGATGAAAATAAATTTAATAATATACTCTTAAGTATCTTAATTCCATATAACAACAGTAATATGAATAATAAATCTTTTTTGTTTTTTTCGTATAGCTACAAAAATGATTTATGACATTTTGTCTTATTTACATACAAAATAAGTACAAGTCTTTTAAAAACCACACGTGTTTTTGCAAAATGAAAACATTTTCTTATAATTTGTTATATATTTACATATGTAAGTATAGTATTTATTGTCTTTGAAAATTTGAAACCAAAGTTGGGCCATGTTGATATTCTAGTGTGGGCAGTTTTCCACAGAAAAACCAGATTCATTTGATAATTGTCTCTTCTTATTAAAAAAGACTTAATTAAATTTTTATTTACGTAAAAAAAAAAAATTTTCATTTAGAAAATATAAAGTTTCTAAAACATTGATATCTATATTTAGAAGACGATGTATTGATGCTTTATTATTATTAAATTTTTAGTGACAATATCATCAACAGCGTTTTGAATTAGAAACATGAAATTAAGTATGTAGAACCCGGATTAGGCGAGAACTCATAAAAGGGGAACTTTTTGGAAATTTTGCCGTTCTTCAAAAGGTACTTTTTGAATTTTCTATAATATTGAACCTAGAAACATGAAATTTAGCATGTAGGGTCTTGATTAGGTAAGAACCTATAAAAGGGGACTTTTTGGTACTTTTTCGTTCTTCAAAAGGTACTTTTTGAAATTTCTATAATATTGAACCTAGAAACATGAAATTAAGTATGTAGAGTGTGGATTAAGTGAGAACCCACAAAAGGAGATTTTTTGGTACTTTTTCGTTCATCAAAAGGTACTTTTTGAAATTTCTATAATATCGAACCCAGAAACATGAAATTGCATGTAGATCCTGGATTATATGAGAACCTATAAAAGGGTACTTTTTCCGTTCTTCAAAAGGTACTTTTTGAAATTTATATAATATTGAATGCAGAAACATGAAATTGCATGTAGATCCTGGATTATGTAAAAACCTATAAAAGGGTACTTTTTGGTACTTAGTACTTCAAAGGGTACTTTTTGAATTTTCTATAATATTGAACCTAGAAATTTTAAATTATGCATGTAGATTCCGGATTAAGTTAGAACGTATAAAATGGGACTTTTTGCCACTTCTTCAGTTTTTAAAAGCCACTTTTTGATACTTTTTCTATTCTTCAAAAGGTACTTTTTGAAATTTCTATAATATTGAACCCAAAAACATGAAATTGCATGTAGATCCTGGATTATGTGAGAACCTATAAAAGGGTACTTTCTGGTACTTTGTCGTTATTTAAAGGGTACTTTTTGAATTTTCTATAATATTGAACCAAGAAATATTAAATTAAGCATGTAGAGCCCGGATTAAGTGAGAACCCATAATAGGGGACTTTTTGGTACCTTACCGTTTTACAATTGGTATTTTTTGATTTTTTTGTAATAAAATTCGTACTGAGTGTTTTTTAACACATCATGGTGAAGGGTATATAAGATTCGGACAGCCGAATATAGAATTCTTACTTGTTTTTAATTCAATTTGGTTAAAATTGGATGGGATTTGAAGACACATGAAAATCCATTTCGGTGGAATAATGTACATGAAATTTGATATTAAACAATTTTATGTTAAAAAATTTTTTGATTACGGTTATAATCATAAATAAATGTTTCGAGACCTTTCATATGATACCAAATTTTAGTACATTTTCTTAACAATAAATATGGAAAATGCTCCTTTTTATCCTTAGATCCGGCATACCTATTATTTACGCTAGAACAAAGAGTTTGTAAAATGATAACATAGAATGAAATAAATTTTAATTTTTGGCGAAAACATCAGCAATTAAAATTTTTGAGCCAACCTAGTGTTGGAAAATATTTATGCTCACA